GTTTCCAGGCAGGAGGAAATTCTGCCGGCTTTACTTCTAGACTTGGGTTGACAGGTTGGCACCACAGCTTCGTCACCCTGAACCTCAGGCACCTCACCTGATAGTCACTTTCCATGCAGGTGCCAGGCCTAAAGCCTCTTGTCCATCTTCCTCCATGACACTCCTCCTCCCTCCCTGCTCCTTGATTCTTGTCTCTCTAGCCCTACCTCGGAATCTATTACTCTTCAATCACCCTGGTTTGACCTCCCCACCACCTGAGGCCTGTCCTAACCATACCCATTCTCAAACAGCAATGGCTAGTGTCCTTGCTGCAAGTGGAACCAGGGCTAAGGGTGTAGCTCTGTATTAGAACACTTGCTTAGCCGGGCGTTGGTGGCGCACGCCTTTAATCCCAGCACTCGGGAGGCAGAGGCAGGCGGATCTCTGTGAGTTCGAGGCCACCCTGGTCTACAAGAGCTAGTTCCAGGACAGCCTCCAAAACAATGCAGAGAAACCCTGTCTCGAAAAAACCAAAAAAAAAAAAAAAAAAAAAAAAAAAAAAAAAGAATACTTGCTTAACATGCCAACGCCATGGGTTCAAACCCAGGCATGAAAACATAAACCTATCTGTACTATGCTATGGATTAAACTGTTTCATTCTCCCAACCAATCCATATATGGTGAAATTAACCTCTACAATGTGCTCAAATTCAGAGAAAAAGCTTTTAGGAGACAATTAGGTTTCATGAGGTCTTAGCTAGTAAGATATAGAAGAGAAAGGGTGGTACAGCATGTACAAGGCCCTGGGTTCAATTCTTAGCACTGGAGTGGGAAGAAGAGAGAGAGGACATTGAGAAAAGGCCACGTGAGTGAGCAGTCAATGGGAAAATGACTCCTGTGTGCCAGAGTGAATGCTCTCACCAGAACTGATAGCCAGAACCTTGGCTTTGGACTCCCTCGACTCCAGAACTGTGAGAAATAAACCACTGAGGCATTTTGTGACAGCAGTGTGAGCAGACTAACTCAAGCCCCTTGTCCACACTGCCGGGCTCTCCAGGCCTTCTAAGATTCCTTAGAAACCCTACTCTCTGCCTCCTGCACTAAAGAGAGCCGCACTCAGAAAACCAAGTGCCACGAAACTGTCCATTTGGAAAGGACACTCTCCCTGCAGCAGCTGACCGTAAGAATACTGCCCTGAAAAAGAGTGGACACTCAAAGTATGAAGTTGACGGCTGAAAGGCCCTGCTGGTGATCAGGTAAAGGGAAATTTAGGCAGCTGTGAGCTCGGGGCTCTGAGGCCAGTCTGGACAGCACAGCAAGACTCGGCGTCAAGTAGTGAAAGATACGAGCTGAAAGCAGACTTTAATAGGAAACAGCCAGCAACTTAGAACCTGGGACAAGATAGAAATAGCAAAGCCAGGAAGAAAATGGCAATGCCAGAGAGTGCACAAAGAGCTCCTTTAAACCCAGAGGCAGCAATGCAGGCTTAACTAGGAACACGAATGTCAGAATTAAATAGCACGAAAACACCCCCAACACACCTTCAGAGCAGAGAACTGGAGGGGCAGCAGGGTGAAAAAAATCAACAAGGAACCAAAGACTCAGTGAAGTCTTAAAAAGTACGAGGGTAAATGAAATAAGGTTTTTTTGTTTGGTTTGGTTTGGTTTTTTTGTTTTGTTTTGTTTTTGAGACAGGGTTTCTCTGTATTGTTTTGGAGGCTGTCCTGGAACTCGCTCTGTAGACCAGGCTGACCTCGAACTCACAGAGATCCACCTGCCTCTGCCTCTGCCTCCCGAGTGCTGGGATTAAAGGCGTGCGCCACCAACGCCCAGCTTGAAATAAGGTTTTCAAAGCTTACATTTATAGGCTCAAAGTGCCATACAAAGACAAATTACTGGTGACGACTTAGTTTTCTTACCCAAAATGAGAAAAGTCCTTAAACTATCAGTGGGATCAAATCCAGAACCCCAGATGGAGCTCAGGTTTCTTTAGGAGCACGGAATAAGAGTATGACAACAGCCGACAACCATGGAACAAAAAGCTTACTTCTAAAATGTTAGGTCTACTAGACTCTATACAGATGAGGCATGCAGTGTGGCACAAAAACTACCTAAAGCATCCACAACGCTCTAATCAAATATTTTTCCATTTTATTTGAGATCATAATTACATTTCTCCATTCCCTCTCTTCCCTCCAAACCCTCCCAGTACCCTTCCTTTCTCTCCTATTATACCGCCTCTTTTCTCAATAATTGTATTGCATGCATATGTGTATATATTCCTACATACAACCTGTCCAGTTACTTGTGTGTTTTCAGGGCTGATTATTTGGCACTGGACAACCAAAGGTGTGCTCTTCCCTGAGGAACCTCTGCTGTCTCCAGCTCTCCTCAGTTGCCTGTAGCTCTGTGCAGGGCTGAGGCCCCGTGTGCAGGGCTGAGGCCTCGTGTGCAGGGCTGAGGCCTCGGGGCTTTTCCCCATGCTCTTCGGTATGTCCATTGGTGTCCTCCTTGATCAGATCACACTTAGTCACATTGGTTCAAGTGCTTTTCTTTAATGTGTGTATGTTGTTTCCCTGAGTGTGTGCACGGTTTCCAAGAGTGTGCAATGTTCACACCACAGAGGCCAACAGAGGGCATTTCATCCCCTGGGACTGGAGTTTAACGATGATGGTGAGACACTGTTTGGGTGCTGGAAATTAAGCCCAGATCCTGAGGGGGAAAAAAGCAGCCAGTGCTCTTAACTGCTGAGTCATCTCTTCAGCCCTCTATAATCAAACACTTCTGTAAGTTTTTGGGTTTTTTGTCTTTTTTAACTTTCTTGCTGGACAAGGTGATACACGCACACCTTCAGTCCCAGCAGAATGCGGTGGATCTCTGTGATTTCAAGGCTACATAGTCAGGCCTTGCCTCAAAATAAATAAATAAATTCGTTGTGTTGCTTTGTGCTCGGGACTTGTGAGCTTCCCCCCCACCAGCTGGACTGAGTTGCTAAGACCACATTTTCACCACCACATCCAGATCAATCGTTTCTCAGTAGAGGTTTAATCTCAGGGTAATGTGCCACTCAAGAAAACTAAATACCAGACAACTATCTGGAACGAGGGGGAAGGGACACAACTTTAATCTGGGACTTAGCTAACGGTGAGTTTGAGGCCAGTCTGGAACAAGTTTCAGGTCAGACAGGACAAAAACAAAAAGAAAAAAACAAAAACCCCTGCCACTACAAACACCTTCTTTCTTTCTTATTTATTTGGTTAGTTGGTTGTTTAGTTGGCTGGTTGGTTTTTTTGAGGCAGGGTTTTTCTGTGTTGCCCTGGCTGTCCTGAACTTGCTCTGTAGACCAGGCTGGCCTTCAACTAAGAAATACACCTTCCTCTCCCTCTGGAGTGTTGGGATCAAAGGCATGTTCCACCACCGCCCGGAAAAACACCTACTTTCTTACAAAAATTACTTCCCACAATAAGAAAACTGGGCGGGAGTGGGTGGGGTGGAAATGGCCTGGTATAAAAGAAAGAACCAGTTCACTGTCTAGAAAGCAGTTACCTCATGCCATGATGTCTGCCTGTCTCCTTTGAACTACCAAACGTGTCATGAGCGCGCTAACACGGTGCACAGTCCCCAGCGCCCACAGTTTATTAATTTTTGGATGAGTTAAGTATAAAGAGTAGTTCTACATTCCTAAATGGTCCTGATAAGGTCAACTATAACCCAGTACAGAATCCTGACCCCCTAAGAGGAAAAGGCCTCATGCAAACTTCACCGGAGTCAAAAGCCTTAAAGGAAAAGGCCAGCAACTTCATAAACTAAGATAAAAGGCAGACACAGATAGGCGTCCGGAACAGGTGAGGCCTGAGCCCAACAGCACTCCAATACAAAACACAGAAATGTTCCAGCCACCTTGGTTTTAGCCTACCAGAGTTAGGAGGAAACTGCCTGAGGGAAGTCACATGGCCAGTTAATGACAGCTCCAGCCTGGCTGTCTCAGGATTCAGATCCCAGATCCTCACACATCCCTGCTCGCCTTCTTTCAGAGGACCCAAACGTCAGAAGGGATAGCATCCTCCCCGTCCCGCTTCCCTGCGCTGCAAACATCAGACTAACAGCTACTGCAAATGCTCCATCCCCAGGAAGCCCCCAACGTAACTTTCTTCCCCCTGCACTTGCCCTCAGCGCTGACAACCCGGAGTTTCCCACCAGACCCGATTAAAAAAAGCCCCTCATCCTGAAAAAGGGCCGAGTTCCTATAGGCTACCCATCTAATAGGATATCTCCGGCCAAACGATGGAGAATAATTATTCACCTTCAAGTTGTCACACTCCAATGTCAATTTCTCTGTCCAGAGTGGCGGCAACAGGGAGACTCGGGACCCCTGGGGGGGACAGGCCAGCGGGAAAGGTCGCAAGGTTGGAGCGGCGGCATCTAAAATTACTCCCTGTCGCCTCCGCAAAGAGGGAAGGAAGCCAGACTGGAAACCGCACCACCATCCCCCGCCCCTCGGACTGACCCTGAGTCCCCGGGCGCTGGGATGCGGGGCGCACCTCCTGGGGAGGGGCGCACAGTAAGCCGCGCAGCACCCCGTGTCCACGGCGGCCGTCCCGTGGGCACCCGGCGGGGCAGCGGTGAGCGTCCGGAACGCACGGCCTGACCCGACAGCAGGGGCCACCGGGCCGCGCGAGCCGGCGTGGGGGGCGCAGGCCGCGCCGCGGGTGGGTGACAGCGCGCGGGGGCCGCGCGGGCCGGCCTCGTGGGCGCGGCGGGCAGCTGGGGCCGCCGGCAGGTGCGGCCGCTGGCCCGGCGTGGGGCGTGGGGTGTGGGACGCGGCGCCCCGGCTCTCACCTGCCTGCAGCTCGCTGGGCTCGCGTCCGGGCGATCGCACCGCTCGCGCCGCAGTGCCTGCCTCCGCCTCGGGTCCCCGCGGCAGCCGCCTGCAAAATGGCGCCGCGGAGGGGCGGGCCGGGGGCGGGAGCGGCGCAGCTGCCCGCCCCGCGCGCCGGCCCCTCCCCGCCCGACCCCCCGGCTCCGCCCGCGCGCCCCGGGGCGCTTAGCCGCAGACCCTACCCCACACACCTGCTCGGGGCGGGCCTGGGAGGCTCGACGCTCGTCCGGCCTCTCCCCCAGAGCCTCTTTTCAACCCTGCTGGACCCCGAGCCCCGCAGTAGCAGCCGGGTGACAGAGAGCGGGTCGCAGTGCACCCGGCCCAGTGAGTAATGTGCTTTAAAGCAATTTCACGGTTTTTCCAATTGGGCCGTCAGGCTTCGGAACCCACTGGGGGAAGAGATCCTCCTTGCTCGTGCTGACGCGGGAGAAGACACCAGGCTTGATTTCTCCGGGGCGTGTGTTCTGATCGAGCGGGTTTGGGGGACAGCCCTCGATTCTGTATTTCTCAAATGCCCCCAGGGGATACCTACTGGATCCGCGCTTAGGGTGTAGTGGAGAGACCACGTGTCAATAAACCCATAATGCTTAGGCAGGACAGTCTTGCCCAGAGGGCCATTAAGACTCACTAGCTGGGTACCACCCCCAGAGGTGATGAAACTGGGGATTTCAAGTGTGGCTTCAGAATTTGCATCTCCAGTAAGTTTCCAGGTGATGCTGCAGGCGGGCGGAGGTCGAAGATACTAACTTGTGAGGCACTGCAGAAACCACGTCCTTACCGACACCAAAACAAACAAACAAAACCCTAATAATTAGCTCTTTCTTCCGTCTTCCATCTTGTTTTACTAACCAAGAAATTCCTTACATCCCAAAGCAGCTCCTAAGAGCGGTAAAGAATGGTGGACTGCATCTGACTTCACATGACCAAAAGCGGACTTTATTACTGAATTGTTTGTGTTTGGCAGTCCTGAGGACTGGCTGCATACTCATCAACAGAGGCACACCATAACCAGCAAGGACTGGCATTTTATAAAGAAGGCTACTGCTCACGAACCGCATCTTTGAGAATCAGTAATTCTCTATATCTTCTCACACTAAAATAAAACCAGTGGGGCTAGGTGGTTCACACCTGTAATCCCAGCATTTTGCAGGTGGAGGTAGGAAAAATAAGAATTTGAAGTCAGCCTGGTCTGTTTAGTAAGACCCCTGACTCAAAAAAACTAAACAGCAAAAGATGAATTGTAGAAGTCAGTATACCCTGGAAGACCAAGTAAATGCTTCATGGTCACTGGAGATAGAGAAAATAAGAGATGCTTCTGTGACCAGTTCCAGAGAAACATGCACGTACTGTCTCACAACTCCTTCTATACCAGAGTTTCCAACTACCCTAAAAAAATAATAGTATTGTGTATTCTGCTCAGCAAACAGTGTGGAACCTTCGGAAATAGAAGAGCTGAAACCAAGAGTTCTTGATCATTTCAGTTTATCCCTTTTCTGGTTTCTATTTCATTAGTATTTGTTTGGGTTTTCTTTTCTTTTCTTTCTCATTGTCTCCCTCTCCATTCACAGTTTTTTTCCTCTATCCTAAAACACCATCTACTTCCAGTGTCTCCCGCCCCAGTCTTCAGCCTCTCCTCCTCCCCAACCTCAACACTCAGCAAGCACTGTAAACGCCAGCCGTCTCCTGCTTTCTCAGACGTCATCTGTGACCTTCTAAGTGCCAAATCCTTTTGCCTGTTTACAGTCCTTTTCTTCTTCCCTGGCGCAGTAACATTCCATTGACTAGCCCCTCCAGGAAACGCTTTTATGTGATAAAGCCACTCGGCCTTTCTAACTGTCCTACACTTCACCTTCACCCAAGTTAGTGATGGAAGGATTGCTCAGGCTTGGAACTCCAGAGATGTTGATTCCCTTGATGCCCGCCCCTGTCTATCCCCCTGCTCTCTCCTCACAGCCCTCTTCTTCCCTTACCTCCCTTTCCAGACCAGTCATTTCTGAACTTCTAGACACACATTTCTGATTGGTCACCAACTTCCCAAATATTCTCCAGAAACTATAAATATTCTGTTTGGACCCACAGGGTCTGCATCTACAGAATCAAACAACGATAGATCAAAACTTGGGAGTGATTTCTGATTTGATAGCATCAGGATGATAAAATGTACACTTCTCCCTTCATCATCCCCTACACAGTACACAGTTATTTACGTGGCATTTGCATTATATTCGGAATTACAAATAGTATACAGAGGTTTCTGTAGGTTACATGAAAAGAGTGTGACATTGTCTATGAAAATTTGAGTATCAGAGACTTTTAACCCTGGGAAGAGGGGTCCTGGGACCAGTCAGTCCCCTGTATTCAGAGGGATGATGGCGAACCATCTCTATTACTAGGTACCTCATTCTTTCACAAATGTGTTTTCTATCTGGGTCCTCATTTGCCACCAAAAAGTCTGAAGTTGTGTTTGATTCCATGTCTACTCAGACACCTGCAGTCAGCTTGAGCAAGGGAAGTGTTTTGTAAAGACACAGACTATGACTTGTTCTTAACTTTCCAACCTTGTGACTTACAAGTTGCCTCCTGCCAGGTGGTGGTTGCCGATGCCTATAATCCCAGCACTTAGGAGGCAGAGGCTAGCTGATCTTTGAGTTCAAGACCAGTCTGGTCTACAGAGCTCTAGGACAGCCAGGGCTACATAGAGAATCATTGTCTTGAAAAACACCAAGAAAAAAAAAAAAAGAGTTGCCTCCTAAAACCATCTTTGTTATCATCTCAAAACACAGCTGACCATTTGACATCCCTTCTGAGAATCCTTTGGGGCCCCTTTGTCTAAATAATGACCCAGCAAAAAGAAACAGAATCTAGTCTCGGGCACAACATTCAAGACCCTTGACTTTATAATCACAAGATGTTTAATCACATACATTTTTCCCCCTGGAAAAAGTACTACATTTTACTGGGGGCTGACTGGAATTAATATCAAGGGCCACCCTGACTTCAGCCTTTCATAGCTCTAATGAGGACTGGATTTAATCATGCATACAAAATGTTTACTCAGTGCAGCAACATGTAGGCATTCGACGTCATTGTCACATATAAGCATTTTTATCATCATCATTAATTCAAAAATGACATGATCATTTTCCTTTTACCTCTGTTCTCTTTTGTTTTCCTTTCTTATTACAGGAATTACAAACAAGGTACTGTGCCCAACCTTATTAACTTCCCTAAACTCAACTCTACAGAATCTGTCAAGAGTGTTTTATAACCTGGTTAATCTGAGTGAAATTTCCCTCATTCACGGGATATAAGTTTTTGAGAAGAAACTGTAGCTTATGGCTAGACCTTGTTCATACACACTTTTCAATAAGATTTCTAAGATTTCTCTGGAGTTTATATAAAACAAACATTTTCTTGAAAAAGTCAAAAAGTAAAATATTTTGTATTTCATGCATCAAGGAGCAAAAACAAATTCCCATACTTTTTGTTTTTGCTTTGTTTTGTTTTTTCAATTTTTCAAGACAGGGTTTCTCTGTAGGTTTGGAGACTGTCTTGGAACTCTCTTTGAAGACCAGGCTGTTTTGCTTTTTAATGAAACTCAAAATACAATAAAATAATTAAGTATAACAAGTATATTCTTTTCCTTTCTGGAGGCAAGGTATGGCACCCAGGTCGATGTACGTGCTGGGCAAGTGCTTACCACTAAAATACAGCCTGAACCTCAGAGTAAATTATTTTGGCAAGATTTTTACTTAACTTTATAGGGGTTCGCCTATTAAAAAATTCTTTGCTCATATAAAAGCAAACATTTGAACCTCTATTTTCTGAGCTTCCATTTAGTCTGTAACTCCAACTTTGAGTTGTCTCTTCAGGGAAATTCAGGCAAGATGTTTAATCTTGAAGAGGTCATATTGAGTGGTAGGAGAAGGTCTCAAGTCCCTTCACCTAATCTGGGCAAGTGTTTGACAGAGACTAAGAGCTCACACACTCAGCTTGGCTTTCTGTCACCGAGCTCCACTCTGCAGCCTGGCGCAGCACAGCTCCATGAAAGCTGCCCAAGATGACTTCTTCATTATTTTTTTATCCATTTATTTTCAGACAAGGTGTTACTGCATAACTCTGACTGGTTTGAAACTACCTATGTAGACCAGGATGGCCTCCAAAGTTCAGCATTACTCATTGCAACAATATTTTAATTAGCAAACAAACAAAAATGAAATGCTGAAAACAAATTTATAATCTCAAATTCAGAAGCCTGAAGAGTTGGAGGCAGCCTAGGCTACATGGCAACCTGTGTCACTGAGCTGAAAAGTAGCCACTGGAACTGTGATATACAATTCAGTGATACAACCATTACTACTGCTTCATTTTGAACATTTTCAGGTTTGTAATCTCATTCCCCTCCTCTTCCTTCAAGCCCAGATAACCACATGATCTACACTCTCTTTTTAGACTTGTCTACGGTAGATACAGAATCGGTAGGTAGACTCATCATGAATGATTTGTTTTGGGGTTTGGTTTTTTCAGGGGTAAGAGATGTCTCACTAGCCTGGAACTTGCTATATAGACTAGCCTTGAACTCTGAGAACCACCTGCTTCTGCTACCAAGTGCTTAATATAATTAAAGTGTGCCTTGCCCTTTAACTATTCCTAACAATAGTCACTATCTTCAAGTGCACCCATGATTTGTAGCCATCACCCCATCCAGCTCCAGAATTTTCACCTGCAAATTGAAATTTTATACACGTCAAACGCCAAGTGCCTCTCTCCCTCACTCCCCTGGTCCTATAAATCAGTGTCTCTGCATGAACTTGCCTGCTATAGGTATCTCCTAAGTAGAATCGGGCAATTCTAGTGTTTATTTTCTGACACTTTTCACCTAGTATAATATTTTCAAGAATCATTTCTGTTTTAGCATAGATCAGAATTTTTTATTTAAAGGTTGAGAGTTTGGGGTTTGGGGTTTTGGTTTTGTTTAGTCTTGTCTTTTAGAGACAAGGTCTTTACCCTGGAGCCTAGGCTGGCCTTGAATGTGCAACAATCTCCCTACCTCAGTCTCCTAAGTGCTGGGATGACAAGTATGTGCAAACACAGCCTTTTTCCTTCATTCTTTTTTAAGGTCCAAAAATATTACACTGTATTGCTGAACCATGAAATAAGTGACATCTCACCACCTGGTTATCCACCAGGAGGACATAGTTGTATGTGCCAGAAGCCAAAAAACAGTGTTCCTTGGGGTACCCTTAGTAACTAGGAGTGTGAATGAGAAATCTGCATGAAAAAGTCACTTATGCACATGGGAAGAAGGTAAGAACATAGATCAGAGAGATGAGCTGACAGTATGAGCGGGACATTATCTATCCAGACAAGGGTCCAGCCTGGGGGAAGGCAGAGAAGAGCTGACCTGAAGGGACAGTCATTGATCCCTGATCTTTGGGGACTGATGGCTCTCTGCCCCAAGAAGGAACAAAAATGTAGTCATTATTAAAATTCTTCATCTATCAGATGGACAGAGATTAATTGCATCATTACTGGTGGAGGAAAAGGGAAATGAACTCACTTATTAGACTATGACTTGGCACGGTCTATCAAAGTCCAACTTAGAACATTAGTTCTGAGAATCTTTCCACACACTAGCACACACTCATGGGCTCAGGACTTATGTGCCAGAGAGCTCAAAGCGTAGTCCAGTGCCCTTTAGTCTCTTTCACACCTTCCCTTCTTCCTGGTGATGTCCAAAGTAGCTCAGAGTCAGCCACAAAGACCTGAGCTAGGTATGGCACAAGAGGCATGCTGCATGGGCTCCCCTACTGTGCAGGCCTCGCTCATTGGTTCTTCACAAAGACCCTTTTATCTGCAAATGACTTCCAGTGCCCTACCTAAGCATTTCCCCTACTCCTACTGCTGGCAAGGAACATTGTTTCTTGCTTTCTGGTGCTAGATCATAAGAGATACACTTCCTCACCCCCATACACACACACTTACCACAAACACACTTTCCCATGAATTTCCCTTTACCCAACCGACCATGGGAAGCTCTCAAAGGCCACCATCCTTCTGGCATGCTCTGCATTTCAGCACTGACGGCCTTTCGTTATAGAACTTGTGCTCTGCCATTCTAGCAGTCAGCTCCTCGCTGCATCCAGCTTCTACAAAATGCTACCTTGTGCACACTTCCGTTCTTTCATTGCCCACTGGCGATCTGGCTTCTGTTCCTGGTTCTCCTCTACCTAAGCAAATTAGCCATGTTCTCCAAATTACACAATCTGGGGATCTTTACTGGAACTTTCTGGAGACATTTGGCACAGCGGATGCCGCGTCCTGTCAGGAAGCTTGTCCTCATTTGGCTTTGCAGCTGCATTTCCTGCTGCTTTGCCTACTTCCCTGTGTGTCTACAGATTCCTTCCCCAGGCTCTTATTCCTCGGGCACTTGGCTAACGCCAGTGTTGGGAGCAAAGGAAGTGCATCTGGGTCCCCTCTTCCAAACCCCTTTGTAGCCAAACAGCAAGTGGTGCTGCATGCCTTAATCCCAGCATTCAGGAAGCAGAGGCAGGAATGAGTTTGAGGCCAGCCTGGGACAAACAGGGCTACATAGAGAGACCTTGCCTCAATAAACAAACAAACAAACAGGTCATTTTTTGCTCGTCTGGTCCATTTGAACCCCCTTCTTCTTAATTTTTTAAGAATTATTGTTTAGGGGCTAGAGAGATGGCTCAGCTGTTAAGAGGTTCTGTCAGAGGTCCTGAGTTCAATTCCCAGCAACCACATGGTGGCTCACAACCATCTGTAATGAGATCTGGCACCCTCTTCTGGCCTGCAGGCACACACACAGACAGAACACTGTATACACAATAAATAAATCTTTTTAAAAAGAAGAAATATTGTTAAAAAAGAAGAATTATTGTGTGGGGAGGCACATGTGCTCCAGTTTACTTGTATAGGTCAGAGGACAGTTTTGCCCTGAGCCATCTTAATGACCGCACTTCTCTGGAACATTCTCTTTCATTATGTCTCACCTTAGCCTCTCTTGGAAGCTTTTCAAGTCTCCAGGTTGACGTAAGTGAACTCTCTCTGCACTTCTTAGCATTTAGAATGCAATCATACTTGCTGGTGCCTGGCTTTCTATGTCTCTCTCATACCTGTCAGTCTCCAGGGCAGTTATCTTGATTTATGTATGCCAGTTCTTCCGACAGAGCCCACCACACACCCCTGAGTACAAGGACTTAAGCTGTTTAATTGAACAGAGCACCGAAGGTGAGCTATGAAGGGAAAGAGGACAGGGGGTCAACCTCCATGGCTCCTGGAAAACTGGAAACTTAGTTGGACAAGTTCTCCAAAGAAACAGAATCATTAAGACACACACAGATTGGGGGGGAGAGGAGGCAGGAATGGGAGAAGGAGATGGAGGGGCTGGGGTGTGTTATATGAGAGAAGAATACATTTAAAAAAGAAAAAAAGACGCTAGACAGTGGTGGTATAGGCCTTTAATACCAGCACTTGGGAAGCAGAGAGGCAGGAGGATTTCCGTGGGTTCAAGAGTATCCTGGGTAGAGCAAGCTCCAGGACAGCCAAGGCTACACAGAGAAACCCTGTCTCAAAAAAAGCAAAAAACAAAAAGAGAAGAGAGAAAGAGAGAGATAGAGAAAGAGAGGAAGGAAGGAAAGAAAAAGGGAGGGAGGGAGGGAGGGAGGGAGGAAGGTGCACGCAGAGATATAAACATTTAATAGTGATTTTTTATGTGAATTCACTCACTCAGTTATGACTCCAAAGTGTCCCGTGATGCGCTGGCATGAAAGATGTTGAATCAGAAAAGCTGGTGGTGTAACTCAGTTTGAGACTGGGGGCCTAGGAAGTCTGACCTCTGAGACTGTCCCAGCTCCAGAAGGCAGAGTTTGGCTCTGCTTTTCCTGACTTTTCATTCTACCTGTCTGTGTCCACAGATTTGGTGATGCCCGCCCACTTGATGGAGGCCAGGTTTCTTTGCTGAGTCTACTGATTCAAATGCTAATCTCTTCGGCAAACAGCTTCACAGACTTAGCCAGCACCCAGAAGTGGGGCTTAATACTATCTGGCAATCTCTGGTCTCAGTCGAATTGGTAAGTAGAATTAACCACACAGAAGCCAGGAAGGAGACAGGATAGAGGCAAAACATGGAATGTTTCCGAGGCTGGGGTAAAGAAAAACTTTATAAAAGTGTCAAGGGGGACTAGTGGCGGGGACAAAAGGAAGAAGAGGGTAGGAGGGAGGGACGGTATAACATACAGTGATATCCCTACCTAATACAGTATAATGTATATTGAAAATATATAATGAAAAATTAAAAAAAAATCAGTGCTGGAGAAATGGCTCAGAGGTTAAGAGCTCTGGTTGTACTTCCAGAGGTCCTGAGTTCAATTCCCAGCAACCACAGGGTGACTCACAACCATCTGTAATGAAATCTGATGCCCTCTTCTGACCTGTAGGAATATATGCAGGCAAAACACTGTATACATAATAAATAAATAAATAAATCTTTAAAAAAAAAACCCCAGCTGGGAGTTGGTGGTGCACGCCTTTAATCCCAGCACTCGGGAGGCAGAGGGAGATCTCTGTGAGTTCAAGACCAGCCTGGTCTACAAGAGCTAGTTCCAGGACAGACTCCAAAACCACAGAGAAACTCTGTGTCAAAAAACCAAGAAAAAAACCCTAGGTATAACATGTGAAGTGAGTTTTAGCTATGTATGTGCCCCTGAAATACCACCCTGATCAAGTATACAATACTCAGAGGCTCTCAGCCATTCCCCACTTCTCCCAGGGAATCACTAGCTTGTCTCTGTTAGCTGGATTTGTCCGTTTACTATACTTGGTCTACACAGAATCATGTGGCCACGCTCTTCTGTGTCTGGATGTTTCTACTAGCATTTTGTCTGAGTTTCTCCCCATTGTTACAAGTGGTCTCGGTTGCTTGTTTTGCACAGCACAGCTGCACATAGTCCCATCACACAAAGACCACCATTTATTTACCCACCTGCTCTCAATGGATATTCAGTTGTTCCTAGCTCAGGAGTAGCATGTGCAACAGATTTTTATTACTAAGGACTGTGTCTTGTTTTCACATGGCCCGAGCAATACAGAGAAACCCTGTCTCAAAAAAACAAAGAAACAAACAAACAAACAAAAAAAAAAGCAAGAAGGTTGGGGGGTGGGCAGTCACTGGAGAGATGACTCTGTGGTTAAGAGCACTGGCTGCTCTTCCAGAGAACTCAGGTTCAATTCCCAGCATCCACGCGGCAGCTCACGACTGTCTGTACCTCCAGTTCCATGGGATCTGACACCCTCACACAGACTTATATGTAAGGAAAACACGAATTCACATAAAATGAAAAATAAATTTTAAAAAGCAAGAAGAGCTGGGTGATGGTGGCACACGCCTTTAATCCCAACATTCGGGAGGCAGAGGCAGGTGGATCTCTGTGAGTTCGAGGCCAGCCTGCTCTACAGAGAGAGTTCCAGGACAGCCTCCAAAGCTACAGAGAAACCCTGTCTCAAAAAACAAAACAAAACAAAAAAGAACACAGGGTTGTCAGATTTAGCAAATAAAACTATAGGAAATTCAATTAAGTTTTAATTTTGGACAAGGTATATGTATAACTATTCTAAGCAGACATAGCAACCCTAGCTAAGGATGTATGTTCTTACACACGATGGGTTTGTTGCTGTTGCCTTCGCTTTGTTGTTATTTGCGCAAGCCCAGTACTCTACTGCTTAGCTAACAGAGGTTCTTGCTCTGAAACCCAGAATTGCCTTGAACTTGCTAAGTAGACCATGCTGACCTCATTGAACTCTGCCTCCTGAATGCTGAGGTCGAAGGTGTACACTACCATGCCTAGTCAGCCTTGAATTTTTATTTATTTGTGAATTTTGAGACAATTTCCCTATGCAGCCTTGGATGTCCTGGAACTTACTGTATAGATCTGGCCAGCCTTAAACTCACAGAGATAGACCTGCCTCTGGCTCCCGAGGGCTAGAATTAAAGGTGTGTGCCACCATACCTGACTCAGCTTGAATTCTTGATCACCTTGCCTCAGTCTTCTGATGCTGGAGTTTCAATCATGAGGCAACACAGCTGACCCTATGACAGGTTGCTGTTCTTGTTTTATTTGAGGAGGGGTATATTGTCTGAGACTCTATAACCCTAACTGGTCTGGAACCCCCACATGGCCATGTAGACCACACTGGTTCTCCTGTCTCTGCCTCCTAAGTACTAGGATTATAGACATGCACCACCATGCCAGGCCATGGTGGGATTTTGGTAAAATATTCTTTACTGTGCAAGATGTGGCTCCTCCGTAGGTATAGTCTCGGGTAGAAAAAGTCAGCATAGGAATTGAGACTGGGGCTGGCTGTCCCTCTGGGTGAGCTCTGTAAGTATCTTCATTTGCCTGAAGTTTGATTTTCTTTTAATAATGAGTCTATTCCAGAATCCAAATTCAGCATATGGGGGATGGAACTCCATGTCAGACAATGCTGCCAGTCACTGGAGAGTCTGCTGCCTCAATGGGTTGATTCCTATTCCAGTGTTCTGGGTTCCACCTGCTAAGTAAGGTACCTCACTGATGATTTTCCAGTATTTGCTCATGGAATATTCCTTTACACTGTGTGAATATGTCACCATGATTGGCTTAATAATGAAGTTGGCTGGCCAGTAGCTGGACAGGTAGAGGTTGGGTGGGACTTGCAGAGTAGGAGGATGCTGGGAAGAAGAAGGGCAGAGCCTCTGGAGTCACAAGCAGACCCCATAGATCCAATCCAACAGGATGGGAAGTACATACATGAAGTAAGCGAGCCTCGGGGCAGCTTGTCCACAGTTTGGTCAGGGTCCTGGTGGAAGCTGCTGAATTTGGATAGCCTTGCCCACTGGTTAGCAACACCACAATCCACATGGAGACATTGTGGTGCCCCATCATCTTCTTTGGAGACCTTGGGGTCACAGCTAGCAGCTGGGAGTTTCTGTCTGTCATGGTAAGCTTTTTCCTTTAGACATTTTACATGCAATATTCATCAGATCTCTGACAAGTTTGAAGACCATTATCTATTAAGTATATCTGAGATAAACAACCTAGGCTTCACCTAGAAAGCATACTTAACATGATTACAAGTTTGATTATTATAGATGAATAACTACTAGCCTGTACTTCTTAATTATACATTATATTTTAAAACCGAGCTACATAAGTACAATATCTTAAACAAGAGTAGAAACATATATACAGTATAACAAAAATAACCTTAAATTTATATCAGTATACAAACATCCGTACCAATGTGAAATATTTGAGGCTAGTAGTTGTTTGTTTTAGTTTAAAAATAGAATTGATAAACTAGCCTTTTAGCCTATCACTTCTATTTTAAAAGTAGATTCAATAATCCATTCCTTCAATAAGCTATATCCTCCTATTGCTTTTGATAAAAGATGCCTGAATCTAACCTCCTTTGTTTAGTTTCCTCCATGATCATGACCAATAACAATTTGCAACCAATGTCCCCCAAACAATGACCAACATCCACAGATTGACCAGAAACCACCCACCCCACATCTTGGTAAAGTAGGCATCATGTTCTCTAGATTGCTTCCTGTTGTCTGGAGGTGGCAGCATCTCTAGGAGACTCTTAAAAAATTGGAACAGTGTCAAGCCCTGTGAGAGCTAGCTGTATTGTTTTTTGTTTGTTTGTTTGTTTGTTTAGTCTCTGGGTAATGGGAAAATATAGAGCTTATCTGAAGTCTTTGCTTGAGTAGTCTGTGAGGCTGGACCATTTCAGCTAGCAGCTTTGAAGTTCTAGGTGTAGAAACTGTGACTGAGGCATTCTGAGAGGCTAGATCATCTGGGCTACTTGTCTTCATTCATGTCTGGTTCTTTTGTTCTGAAAAAAAACACAAACTTTTAAGGGTAATATGCATATCTATTAACACAAGTATGGAATGTGTGGTGTGTATAAGTCAGCTAAAGATTTGTTTTATGTTTGAGCAGGTAAAGGGATCTGTCATCTTTGTAAGTTCATTTGGACTATAAACCAAACTGTTATGAGGACTCTGTAGCCAACAAGATTTACCCTGTCTCAGCCTCACAGGTGCTGAGCTCCTGCTCCCGTGCAGAGGGCTCAGCACCTGTGTCACCTGTGCTGCAGTCCCTCACATCTGCAGCCAAAACCCTCAAGGGGTCTGCCCTGGTCAATTGATCTTTATTGATTTTGAAGGAATTCATAGTCTTTCATTTCCTCTGGAAACAAAAGCACAACCTTTCCCCAAATGCAACACATTTCCCAACTTTCATTCTGAAACCAAGACATCCCTAAAGTGTATAGGCTGGTTTAATTTAGCAGTCCTTTCTACAATCCAGTGTCACTCAGCAGCATTTTAAAAATTCTAAGTCAACAAAGGTCTGGGTGCCCTGTGTATTTCCTATCATTATGTGTTTTTTAAAAAAAATGCTACTTTCCTCTTTCTTTATAGACTTTGTTTTATTAGACTATTTTTTATGATTGTCTATACCCATTATTTTTCTTTCTTTAGCACATAAGCATATGTTCAATCACATTGTTACCTGTTCAGAGGTTTTCTTGACCTGGACCTGTTTTTTTTTTTTTTTTTCAAAGTCTATAGCATTCTCTGACTGTGTGAGCCAAAGCTTAGACTTGGCTGCTAGACCCTCTGCTGCTCAGCTCTGGTGGCTGGCTCCACTCTCCTCGGTTCCCTGAGAGTCTAGCCTCATTCTGGTGGGTACTTGTGAGAGCTGTTTACCACCCTAACTCTGGAAAATTGTTGAGCCCACTTTCCAGAGTCCCCAAGAGTGGCAGCTGACTGTTGAGTGCTTTCAGAGAGACCCAGGTGGTGATTACTGCAGAGCTGACTGACAGGACTTCTCCATCCATGTGGTTGTGCCATGTGTTGGACACCAAATATAGCCAGATTTTTCTTAACAATTTACAATAACTTATTAGCTTTCCTAAGAGTAGGACTTGCTGGGGTAGGACTTGTGAGCAGGACCTGGTGGAGCACACCTTTAATCCCAGCACTGGGGAGAAAGAGGCAGGAGGATCTCTTAACTTTGAGACCCAC